TCTCTAAAAGCGGTCTACTGCATTTCTGGTCGGAAAAAANTAGTAACAATTTTTTGTTATGTTTGATGGTCTTTGAGCAGCGAGCTTGTCAATTTAGGAATTTTTCCGTCCTTGGAACGCTCAAATTTAGGCGTTTTCCGGCAATGATTGTTGTGAGCTCTAAAAAAATTATTTTGACGTATTTGCAAAAACTAAAGTGTTTGGATTTACTTATGACCCAAGATAGTTCACTGAGAAAAGCTTGAGGGAAAACTTTTTTCCGACCAGAAATGCAGTAGACCGCTTTTAGAGAGACTTCCACTTAACATTTGCCAATTGCTGTGGCCCAGTAAAAGAACTCAATATTGGCCAGATTTGTTTGAACTGACCTCATTTCCATTCAAATAATAGTAATATTAAATAATAAAAATTGTGTATTAACTTGATTGACCATCTGCCCTTGTTAGGCACCACCCTGAAAATAACAGGAAAAAATATTGATTGTTGCTAGCAAGGAATAAGTGGTACACCCCTAAATAAATACAGTGAATACTGTATGTTCTCTTGAAATATGCCACCTCAACTCCTATTCTGCACTTTCTGCCTGTCAGATAGCAACAATTCATAGGCAGGACCCATATCAGCATGTCCATTTATCCCTGATATTTTGACAAAGTTGTTTCTCATGTGCATTATGTGCAGTAATTAAATCGAGATTGAATAGGGATTTTAATCTCCAGTTGTGGCCACCTCTCGACCAGTTTTCCAAAATACAAAAAGTTTCCATGTTAAATCACTATATTTAGAACCTATTGTAAGCGACCACCTCTCGTAAGTGACGGCGACTACTTTTAGAGCTAGAAGTTTGAAATCTTGTGTTTTTAACCTCCTGTAAGTGACGACGTAACAGATAACAGACAAAAAATGGGATAATAAGGTGTTATTCTGATCAACCTTTGTACATGTACATGAACAGAAGGTAGTTGGTCAGAAGTGAACCATATGTTACTCTGAATAAATACTTTGGAAAGATTATATATTTTTGTGGCTGCTAAAATTACATGGATTTAGATGGGCATTGGCGCATGGGGTACATGTGCATGTAAGTCCTTACTGTTACCAATATTAAGCTAACGAGGCAAAATGTTGACCCAGTGTGGTCTAAGCTCTCGTAAGCGGCCACCTCCTGTAAGCAACCACCTAGGCTTCAAATTTTGGGTATTCGTATACGGGAGGGTTCGACTGTATGTCAAGTTAACAAATACAGTCGAACTTATATTATGCAGCCACCTATTAAACAGCCTCCCCTATTAGGCAGCCAGTTATCAAAGTCCCGATGAGGGCTTTGCTATTGTCTTTAATTCTATTAAGCGGCCAGCCCCCTTTAAGCGGAAACTATCCATTTCCCGGAGGGTGGCCGTTTAATAGGGGTCGAAATGTAGTTGCTGTACATCTGTTCAGAATGTAGTTGCTGTGCGTCTGTTCAGTAATTGATCACACCAAAAGGTGAAAGAACAAAAAAGTGGCACACAAGGTAATAGCCGAGTGTGTCATTGATGTTCTTACTACATTTTGTAATGTCTTGTGTGATCAATTACTGAACAGATGCATGGCAACATGGAATCTGTCTGTTTTATATAATAAAAAAAAAATGTTGATGGTGTCATCTAGCCTTGAAATGTAGTTCTGTCCGTACTAGTTGATCATAAGTAAGAATCAATGTTATTGGAATTTGAGAATAATTTGAAAGATGATCTGTTAGGTCACTTAATTGTATCCCTCAGCCAAACCAATATAATGGTATTGCTGTTCATTAAAATGTACTTTGCTCCTTGATATTCATATGCAAGATATTCAGCAATTACCTACAGTAAACAACTAAATATTGTAAATAAATTGCTATACATATACATTTGGTCTTCCATACTGATTTAGAAAATTTAATGGATTGTTGGACTGGCCATCCACACTGTTGAGCGGTTTTTTCAATTTGACAGTACATGCACTTGTCATTGTGATTTACATGCATCTTGTTTTGTTACAAATGTTGGGCATTTATGTAGTGGTGATAACACTGTTTCCTTTCTTTCACATGTAGAATAGAAAGAATAACATTACAAGAAATGTGGAAATACTATCAAGCTTCAGGAGGCTATTCCATTGTACAGTTATAAATGTATATTATATTTATGTATGTGTATATAGCACTGCCAAGATTAACTAACTTTATTTGATAACACTACATGTGAATAGTTAGGAATAAATCATTTAATGAATGGTCAAGCATTAATATGAAAGCTCCATTTGAGTCACTCAGATGGCACAAATATTCAGCCAAATTAATTTTTTACATGTTAATTGATTGTATGTACTGTACATATGTACAATCTGCAAGCATTTTCAAGTTATAGTGGACCTTCCTAACTATGGAAAGCAAAGGGCCAGAGTTGAGTGTCCATACTATGGAGGTGTCCATACTATAGAGGTACAGATTATAATAATTCTGGGGTTTTTTTTGGGATCAGATAAACTGTCCTTATTGTGGAGGTGTCCCTAGCGAGGGGTTAAAGTGTATTTTACAGTTGTGCAAACATGTTTTGCATCTGTTTCTTGACGTACAAGTAGTTACAACCACTATTTTGACCCCCTTCTGATTTGTCACACAAACCTTGCAATTAAAAGGATCTTCTCCCTTAGCAACCAAGAGCACCTTTGGGGAGTACCAGCTAATCTAATTGTTTATAAATTATTTTTAAGCTCTTGCAAGCAGCCATGAAAGGATTGTGTATTATTTCCATCGTTCAAATGAGAGATTTGCAGGTTTCAATCTGAAAATTGTACATGTAGTTACAAGAATCTCTTCCATGTATGAAAAACAATTATTTTTAGGATATTTACAACTGCTGGGAATACCACAAATGAACATTTACATGCCCCAGGCTTTTAATGCTAAAAGCTCGCACAAGAGAGTGACCATTTACATGTACATTGCGCAGTCTTTATGCTAAAAGTTCACGTAAAAGATCAGGTCATATTGTTTCAATCCCTGGTTGTATATAAGAGCTCTTTTTTGAATTCTTGAGATGGCTTCAGGGAGAGCTTTGACAGTATTATTGATCGCTGATATTGCAGATTGAATTTTTCTTATTGCTATGATACATGTACATATATCTTGAGACAAGTGTGATAAATCAGCTACATTAGTATTAACAATAGCAGTATTAGTAATGGTTTTGTACAGTAGCGTAAAAAAATGAACATCAAGACTTATTAGTTTAATATTATTTCTCTAGAGCAGTTTTCAATTGAATGTCAAATTAAGTAATCAAAGAATACCTTTGGTTTTGGTTTTGGTAAATGAGATTGGCCGTGTAGTCTAATTGGTAAGTAATTAGTTGTGGTTTGGTTTTACAACACTCAATTGAAAACTGCTCTAATATACCTTCATTGATGGAAAGATATTACCAAATTACACTGCTGTCAATTATCTGAGGAATATCGAAGGAAACCAAAATTTTCTGAGAGTTCAAAAGGTCACGCCACCAGTTTAATCCAGTTTGTTTGTGTTTCTATCTTCTTTCCCAAGGTCCTTTCATTTGTGTGTCATAATTTTGATATGTGCAGCATAAATCTCAATTGTTAGCTGCATAACTTTGAACTTCAGAATTTATTTGTTATTGAAAGGCACAAAGGTTATTATATTTTGTGTAAACCTGCTACAATCCTTATTTTGCTGTTTACAAAGCTCTCTTTGTAAGAAGTGTAATAAGATAATGCTCTGGTTCTCAATACCTTCCTATTTTACATGTTGATTTTACAGACATTATGTGTACTATTGTTTGACCTGCTGTGTAGTTTCTTTGTCTACATTATACTAAGATTTTACGCAATATTCAGTTTGCTTTTTACAGAGATTTTATTGAGATTATGTCTTACGGCTTACGCACCCGTTCCTTTGTACAGGCTGATTTTACAGAGAAGATGTGGACATTTTGCAGAGATTTATACCAATAACATGCTTACATTTTACAGACATTATGCGTACTTTTGCGTGACATTGTGTGTAGTTTATTTGTGCAGATTTTAGTAACATTTTATGATATTTTAACTCAAATTTTACAGACATAATATGGAGATTTTATGTCTTCGATTTTACAGAGATTTTTCTCCTGCATATTTTACAGAGATAATGTGGACATTTTACAGAGATTTCTTTAAATGCCATAAAATCTCTTAAATTTTACGAAACATTCACAAGAAAAATAGCAACATTTTGTGGACATTTTATGCGATCTGAAAGCGAAACATTTACTAAATTTTACAGACTTTTTATAGAGATTACAAAATCTCTGTAAGTGTGCAAATTTACAGACATTGTAAGTTACAAAGGAAATGTTGACATTTTACAGAGATTTAACGAACTTTCTTGAAGTCTGTAAATGGTTCAAATTTTCCAGTGGATCCCCTCCATTAAATACTATGATCAATAATATCAGGCCTAACATAACATCTGCTCAGAAAATATCAGAAAATGATGACTGCTTCGCAAAAAAGACCATGTATCGGCAGAACAAAACTACTGTAATATTTCTGAGCTACATTGCTGAATAACGAAACTCACACCGATCAGATGTTACACTTTTAAATTCCTTTTGCTTTTCACAAAGTAGCGGTTGTTTTAGTTCTTTCCACGCGCTATTCATCAGTCTTCCAGCCAGCTATAAAACAGTAACTCTTTTCACGGTTAGTTTTTCTCATTTGCATTACAATGTAATCCAACTTGGATGCGCGACAATTTCGAGCAGAAAATGCAAAATTTCACCGAATTGCCTCACATGCATGCTAGATTATAGCGGAGCTCCGGCGGCCCGAAGGGCCGCTAAGCGGAGCCCCATATTCATACAGGAAGGAGAAGGAAACCCATGAGTTGATTTTCTCATGGTTATCGTGGCTAGCGGTACTGCTCGTGGGCGCGTACGCACGACGACGACGACGGCGGCTTTGAACAACCCGGCCCAGGAGCTACGCTTTAGGCTGGCCTAAATCTATATATTACTGTAATGCAAATGAGAAAAGTTATTCGTGAACTCCGTGAGAAGGGCTATCGGCCAATACCGTAGAGTGCCTCGTCATGATATCGAGTTATTTCCATATATGACTAAAAAGTAGAAAAACACAACACCTTACTATTGTAGTTCCGATATAATACTGATCTAGTGTTTCTTTATATTTCAGCCATCCTTTTGAACCTTTAATCCGGTTAAATCGACCCTCAAAATGGCGTTGACTGTGGACGAGGTACTTGAAAAGATTGGGAGCCTGGGGCTGTACCAGATCAGGCTGATCTTTATCCTAAGCTACATAGAATGGTTCAATATAACCTTCCAGATCATGGTACCTACCTTCCTCTCTGCGGAACCCAAGTGGATGTGTGTCCCTCATCTCAATAACACCGCTTGTAACTTCACTGGAGAATTCACTGCAGTGGATAAAAGACGATGCGATATGCCGAGGGAGGCCTGGACATTTACCGATGATTTTACTTCCGTTGTCACGGAGGTATGCAGTTTATTAAACGTTCAGCATCATAGATCCTGTTGTTACATTTTTTTAAAAAGACAAATTGTGGAAAGGCTCATCTGTGCTCAGGGTAAAACTTATCAAGCGACATGCCATTTTTCCCATCTTACAGATCTATTTGTAACTAGTTTGTTATTGTTTGAAATTTTTAATCATGGGGCGATTTCCATTCAACCACAAATTCCGGTTGGAACTTTCCAGTGACAATTTAAATGGAAGAGCATTTTCCAGAGTTTCCGGAAAAGAGGAAAACCTTGCGAGGTATACCGAAATTTTTGGAAATTTCTTTTTAGGAATTTACTTTCCTCTTGGTTTTCTTCCCGGAATTTCTGGAATTTTAAGTTGAATGGTTCGCATTTCGGAAATTCAACCATTTCCAGATTTTCTCGAACCTATCCCAGGAAATGTTTTTACCATTTGTCAATGCAAGTTTTCGGGCTTTTTGTGGAATGGAAAGCGCCCATGGTTTCCATTTGAGATAATGGCGTAAACATAAGTCCAGTTAGTAGCGACATACACGTTTGTAACAATGATGATGTTTTCTTGTGACAAGTTTCGGTAATCTTCTGGATTTTCTGGGGGCAAGTGATTGGCCTACCGCCCAACCCCCATGACCTGGAGGGCCAGTGGTTTTCTGTCAGGGTTTTCCCTCCCTTAGGGGGCTTAAATGGCTCCCCAGCAGGTGCTGCTTTAGTCTGGACCCTTACCGCGCAGACCAATCCGGCATGGTTGGACCTCCCAGGAGCACAAGGCTCCCGCCGGCATAGCCCTGGGGGTCGTAAGGTCACAAAAGCCTTCCCGCCACGACAAGGCACACCACCACGGGGAGGACGACCTAAAACCACATGGAGAAGGACGGCGGAAAAAGAATCCAGGCAAAAGAGATGGTCCAGCTGGGCGGAGGTCAGGGGCACAGACAGGGCTAGTTGGCGAGAGACAGTTACAGCCTTATGCGCCTCATGGCGTGAAGAGAAATAACTATAACTAACTTGTTACAAGTAAAATATGAAATTTCAAGTATATGAAAGATCATATATTTGAATTGCGGAGAAAGATTTGATTGATCCTCGCAGTTATACACACAACTTAAGCAGTTGGGAAATTAAAGCCTGAAAATCCCTCTCAAGCCTGAATGTCTTATTATTGTTATTATTATTATTATTTTCAGGCTTTAATTTCACCGCTTTTAAAAGTTGTGTATGTAACTGCGATGATCAATCGCATTTTCATGTTTTCTTATTGTTGGAACTTTCGTTCTTTTGTTTGTCATTTTGTAACAGTGTTGGTGTTTTGTTGTTGTTTGATTTAAGTTTGACCTGGTTTGTGACAAAGCCGTGCTCTCCTCCCTTTCCACATCACTGGTGTTTGCCGGCTGGCTGGTTGGTGCA